CCAGGCTAGATGGTAAAAGAGACCTTTATTAGTCTAGCCAGACGGCACTCCCGGAGCCAGGTGGCTCAGAGAGGCCAAAAAGAGAACTTTCTAAGGACTCCACAGTAGTTGTTTTCTTTTGCAAAAGAACCTTCTGAACTCAAAATTGGTAACTGCAAAATTTTCCAGATTGATCAGGAGCTTTGCCTCTTTTCATTAGAAGTTAGCCTTATGACAGACAGTGTCCAAAAATGCTTTAGTATTGCAGTAATGCCGTTGATATGTGATTTAAAGCAAAACACTTTTGAAATGAATGAATGTGGAATGAACATTAACATGCACACTCACACACACATACACACTTTGATAGTCCTGTCTGGGAGCCTAAATCACTTGTACAATTCTATCAACTAAAATGATAAAAATAACAATCAAAGTCAGAATGACTTGAATAATTTACCGCTATAGTCTGCAAGATAAGATCAAATAAAGTCATCAGGAATAAGGCAGATATTTGAAGCCAGCATGCCATTGTCTGCATTTCAAACCACCTGTTCCTAGGATGGTTTTGTCATAGAAATGATGTTGCTTTTAAGATATGTATAAATATTGCTAATACTTGGCAGTTGATTGTTTATAAATGAGTTTATTTTTAATTTGTTCTCTGAAGAAATTTTTAAAAACCTTAAAATCTCCTTGAAATTTCTCCTTTTACCACATTTAGTTGATTGCTGAAATATCTCAATCATGATCTAATTTTCTTTGGATCTCACAGCCAAAATGAACTACAGGCTAAAAGCTTTAATTACTATTATAATGAAAATCCAGCCTAAGATCACAAGGCAGACAGATACAATTATTTTAGCTTAATTTTAATCCTTTTTAACTTGTCACATAAAGAGAAGACTGGACATTTTTCTTTCAAAAGTAAGGGCTAGAAATATGTAAAATATAATGTATGAATGTAAAACTAATGGATGAAAATCCTACTCAAAACATGCTCTAGTTTACCTTGAAAACCACATGCATGTGTATTTGTGTATATGTGCATACATACTCTATTCATCACACATTAACTTGATGAATATGAAATACAGTATAAGGTTATATGTTACCTCAGCTATTATATAAGAATTATATAAGGTTACATGTTATTTAAGGATTGGAATATGAGCTGTAAAGTGCCTTTTGGGACAACTTTTTCATTGTTCCAACATCACAGAATTTTGATGTTGCTTTTATATCACGTAGCCTACTATGCGCTCAGGCTGTATGACATATTTCTAAAACGTACACATATATATTTATTCATTTATTTTGCTATATATAAAATATAGGTTGTTATTGTAATCACATACTGTGATACCATACATAATTATATGTGCTGTAGTATCATATGACTAATAGCATCACAACAAACACATGACTTATGTTGCATTGTAACACTATGACAGTTCTGATACCAAGAAGAAATAACAATTTTTGAGACCTGCTGCAATCTTATGTGATATATATATGTAGTCTGCTGTTGACCAAAACGTCATTATAGAGAGCATGACTGTAAGTTATATTCAAATCTGGTCACTGAGGTTGACAGAAATCATTAAAAGTCAGGTGAATGTGACTAGCCATTAGAGTTCCAAATTACTAAAATAGACTGGCATTTTTCCTGTGAAAAGCTTATCTTTCCCTGTAAAAAGATGACTATATAATCTCTATTTATAAATTACCGCTTAGTATGAGTCATTTTTGCTCTACCTTTGGGGATTGTGAAAGCTCTGAGGTTCTTGCATGGTCTCGCTGTTCAGCTTTATAATAAAGTAGGGTTTATTTATAATTGTAAAGAGATTATCAGATTAGAATCAAAAGATTCTAATCATAGTCCTAGTTTTCCATTTATCATTTTTCTAATCATGATATCATCAGGTCAAGCCTCAGTTTTCCTATGTGTATAATAAGGGCATAAAATAAATTACCTCTAAGGTGATCTTCTTGGTAGTGTAAAACATATGAGGAAAAAACATGAAAACAGTAGGCAATGCACAATTGGAAGTAGTGAGACACTACATTTGTATTCAGATACATGAATTTTTCACAATTGTTAGGCTTTTAATTAAATGGAGGTCCATGTCATTTTTAGATATATATTTATTTCAATTCAGTAATTTAGCAAGATGTGAAACGTATATACAGAAATACCAAACCATGAGGATGTATGTATTTGTTATGCATTGCAATCTTACACTAATAAAACTTAAAAATAATTTAGTAATGATAGAATCACATGCATTTTATAAGTATATTTAAAACAGAAATTTAAAAAGAAATGTGACTCTAACATTTATGTTAGTTTCTATAGAGTTAGCTTACCAAGGGAGATGATTCACCTCCAATTTAGGGGTAAAGAGAGTTATTTCTCCACTGCCTCCTCAAAGAAGCACAGTTCTAAATTCAGTACTGCTCTACTTCGATGAGAGATGTAAGGGAATGAGTTTTCCCTGATTCTCATTGGCTGCTAGTGATTTAATCAGATGATAAAAGGAAAGAAACCCTTGCACAGTTAATGTTTGCAACTCTGAGAACTGTGATCCTCTGCTTCAAAGTAGAGGCATATTAGTTCTTGTTCTGAATTAAATTTGGCCCAGTTGTTGAGTGTTTTCATAGATCCTTGTTGCTGCCAGTAATTCTGCCTTGAAAACACTGCCCACTGCTGTGATTTCCAGTATTCATACACAATCATAATCCTGGAAGCCAGTGCTCACAAGTTTTACTGCTCTTTGTCCTTGGGATATAGTCATATCCTTTTCTCAGGCTGTATTTACTCCCTGGAACCCCCCGCCCAATAGCTTGGCAATTACTCCCCACTGAGAAATTCGCTTTGTAACTTCTCAAATCTTCAGCAGAACCCTTGCAGAGCAAATTTTAAGCTTCCTTCAAAAAAGTAAATAAATCTAAAGTAAAACAAATCTTTTGGCAATGTAACACAGGCATGAGCTAACAATTTCCCATACCCAACTGGATGTAGAGAATAAAATTACGTTTGGCCTGAATCCATCACTGAATGTGTCTTAAGTGATATTTTTATTCAATGGCTGCTTTTAATGAGATTTTGATGTTCCAGGAAGTTAAATTGAGTCAATTGCAATCCAATAAATACTTCTATGTCTTCAGATTACACTCACTGTTTCAAAACTTGGGGAGACGTTAATGGTCCATGTTTCCACTAGAATTTTCAGAATGAAAGGAAGCATATGGCAAGAAAGTTCACAGGAACAAGGGGACATTATCAAAAGTTTACTAGTGCAAAACAGTAACCTGAAGATTTGAGAAATATGTATTCTGGTGAGTGCATATCCGTAATATGACTTCTTTCCAACAAGCTCAGTACCAAACCTTCTATTGGAAAGATTTAGAAAGGTTCCCTCTGTGTTACTCTAGAGCAATAATTTTTGTCAAATTCCTTTTTCCATTATTCACATTTTCTACCTTTTATTTTGTCTAAAAGCTGCACACTTTGTTTGTTTTTAAGATTCTCCAAAAAGGAGTCATTTGACACGTTCGCTGGCTCTTGTAATTGTGGAAAATAGAAGTAAATGTGGTAGGAAAATTAATCTCTGCACTCTTACATTTTTTCTGGATAGACGCTTTCCATAAATTTCAGTCATGGCAGAGAAGTTGTGTGCCTTGATATTTTTGTGTCATTAATTTTCGCCTTCCAAAAAGGAAACTCTTTTGGAAAGCAGTCATTTGTCATAATTGAACTGTATGGCTGGCCACTGACTTCATGTAATTCTATTTGCACTTTGCTGTATCACAGTTCTCACATATTTGTCAACTATTTACTCAAGCGTTAAAACAGATTTTGCTTTCTACCATATATTAAAAGATAAGCAATATATTCCAAGTTACTTAGAAGTCAAAATCTGACAAAACTCATTCTCATCCACTCTATCTATAGAATTACGGACCACATGTCAGGCTAGGACTCCCAGACAGCAGCTGCATCTTCAGAAATGAAAAATGTAACTTCCCTCTCTTCTCCACCCCGCTAAATGTTACAAATAACTTCTGACTGGTTCCTAAAATAAAGTTAAGGGTTTTTTTTCCCCACATGCCTGACATGATTAGTTTTGAAGTTCCATTCCAATTTACCCCAGCAGTATCTTCTCCCATCTTCAATCACTCGAGAACATTTCCTTTTAACTTCTTCCATTTATTTTTTGATGATCTTAAATAGTTTCTTCATGAAAGTGTGTGATGTTGGGTTATACAATATAAAGAACTGTAACGTGGTGAGCTATAATAATGATGACTGAGTCAACAGGAAAAAAAATAGTCTACAATTGCCCACATTTTCTAGTAAATTATAGCTGTCGTATATGGGGGGCTGTTTGAAAAAAAATGGTTTTGTTGAAATAAGGAAGTATCTTACCACATTTGCTAGAGTCTCTGTATATAAAGAAATATAAATCCAGAAAAACAGACTAAAATGTACACTTGTTCAGTATCATACTAATAAATACAATGCAACTTTTCTTTATTAGCAGATCTTTCTTTGTTTTCATCATAATTCCTATTGCATTTCAAAATAACTAGAAAGACTGTAATGCCTACCTATCATAGTGAACAAAACTTTTATCTTTTGAGAAATATTATGTTTTGTTTTAAAGACTTTTTTTCACATATAATCTCCTTAAGAGGATGTACATTGAAACATATAAAACCCACTTAGTAGTTTCCCAATTTATTTTTCCATTATAGACCATACATAAAGTTAGAGATTTTAACAGAAGTTATAACAAAGCAGTTATTAAGCATCACTAATAATAAACATGGCATAAAATAACAAAACAACCTTCCTAAAGATAACACAAATTTGCCAGGTGTGGTGGTGCATGCCTGTGATCCCAGCACTCAGGAGGCTGAGGCAGGAGGATCACTGTGAGTTCAAGACCAGCCTGCACTACATAGTGAGCTCCAGGTCAATCTCAACTACATAGTGAGACCCTGTCTCAAAATAACAACAACATCAAAAAAAGATAACATAAATTCTTTATAAAAGCAATGCTTTCTGCCTTACAGTTTCAGAGTGAATATTACATGGTGCCTAAAATTCCTTTGTATCTTTGGCCTTGTGTTCCCTAGTTCCATGACTGCAGTGACTTTATTTCCAATCTACTTCCGTCTGATGATACTTTTTCTCCCAGTCTAAATCATGTCTGATTAACCTTTGCATATGCATGCTTCAGCACAGTACTGCCTATTTGGCATAAAGTATTTTTGAAGGAATAAAACTCCTCCCTTAGCACAGTTTTTCATTCTTTCAAGCTTTCGTCTTTGTCGTTCTGGGAATGCTGAAGCCTTTCTGTTAGCCTTCCAGTTAGCCAGTCTCTGTCAGATCGCTTTTCTTCCACTCCAGATGAGACCCCAGTGTCAGTCATTTTAAGCAGATGTCAATACTCACCTTAGAATTCTCCTCTGTTCTTCTGCAATACTTGTTTTAATTCCTGAGTTGTCGACTGCGTTCTCAAATTCTGCTGGAAGAAATCACAGGAAGATACCACATATAACCATTACAAAGTGAAGTTGTCAAGGGCATCACCAGTGCGGCTAGGAAATCCCTTGCATCCTCCATACAGTGATGAATGTCTCCATCGCAGTCATATTTCCACCCACCCATCTTGCACAGTGGTCAAGAGTATGGGCTTCAGAGGTACAGTCATGTTTGATTCATAAAACTACCTACCACTCACTGAAAGCCTTCAGCAAGATACATTCTCTAAAGATCAGGTTTTCTACACTTAAAATGGAAATTTTTGCTATGCACACACCACAGAGCTATTTGCAAGATTAAATAAATCAGTACATGCAAGGCATTCAGCACAGTTTCTGGCAAACATTAACTCCTACACAAATAGTAGCTATTACTTCTTCATTGATTTCTGCAATGAGAATAAACCCATTGTTTTTTCTTTAACAATTTAAGTATTTTTCCTTTTTGTTTAATGGATAACTGATACTTTGTTTCTTGCAAACATTTCTCTGTTAATCTATACTTTTGGATCTCCTTATTCCAAGTTTCCTAGTCCCTCTTAGTGTCATTCTATTTTCAATGCATCCCTCTCTGTAACATAGTTCCTTCCCTTTTTGGTGACAAACGTGTTCAATTTCTCCATTTCCTCCATGTGATGATACTATTTCAGGCTTCCATACCATCTGTCTTCTTGCCTCACTGCCAACCTCATGGAAAAAGATCAGATCTTGTTGCTTCTATTTTCTCAGAATCCCTTACTCTCAGACTGAACCTTTACAGTCAGGACTCAGTTTCTATTAAACAGGCCTATTGAATATCATGTTTAAAATAGTCTCCAATATTGTGTTGAAATTATGCTCTCCAAACCACCAATGACCTCACAGTCACAGATGAGGTCCTCTTGCACTGCCTCTCCATTTGGTCATAATTCCCTCATCACTTGTCTCTCTTCCTCCGAAGCACTGTTTGGCCCTGTCTAGTACTGGCTGCGCCTCCTCCTTCAACCTTTCAGCAATGATCTCTCTCATCACGTATCTGTTCTGCTTTTTAGCTGTCTCTGCTCTCCACTAATTGATATTCATTGTAAAGGTTTTGATTCTTGTCTATTGATTCCCAAATCAGGAACTTTAACTCTGACCTCACTCCAAAATCATCAATTAGGGGCAGGGGATTTAGCTCAGTGGTTCTGTCACCTGCTTCGTAAGCTCAAGGAAAGTTTGACCCCTGGCACAAATAAACAAACGAAAATCGTAAATTAAAATTAAAATTATACATTGCACCTCTTCATTTTGACTTATCTTTAACATTTTCATTAAATAAGAAAATATTAAAAATCTTTATGCCTCTCCATTTTCCATTTCTTCTTACTTCTGTCAAAATTTCGCTCTTCACCCGGTTGACATCTGAGATTGTTTATAAGGTTTAACGTCAGATACTGTCTTGGTAACACAGGAGTCAAGGTCAAGCGCAAGTCTTCACGTGGAAGTTGCAGCGTGCTTTCCAGAAGATATAGCTAAAGTGACTAATGATGATGGTCACACTGAGAAACAGATTGTCAATGGAGGTAAACTATCCTTCCATGGGAAGAAGACGCCACTTGGAACTTTCATGGCTAAAGAGATGAAGACAATGCCTAGTTTATTTTTTTTATTTTTATTTTTTTATCTTATTGAGTTTACTGGTACTTTTTAGTATACAGTACCGTTACATTCATCCTTGGGATCTTGTACCTTTGCATGACAGGTCTTGCTTCTCACTTTTCCCCCTTACCCCTGCTCACCCTTCACTCCCCACCCTTCTCTGTTTACTAAGACTTTGTTTCCATTTTTTTCATTTTCTCACATTTTTCTTGTCCCTTATTTCCTTCCCCTACCCTTCCCACTTCCTCTACACCTTTAGCCCCTTTCTTCCTAGTTTCCATTATCGGTTATACAATTTGGATTTTATTGACACTTTTAGCTTTTCACACCAGAGAAATGATTTGGTATTTACACATGTGTGTCTTGTTTATTTCACTTAAGTGTATGGCCTCAAAATGCATCCATTTTCCTATGAATGACTCTAGCTTCTCATTCTTTATGGCTAAGTAGTATTCCATTTCATAGAAAAACCACATTTTCTTTATCCAGTCTCCAACTGATGACAATTGGGCTGTTTCCAAGTTTTAGCTATTACAAACTGTGCTTCTATAAGCATGGGTGTGCATACTCTACTGTCATATGGTTCTTTTAATTCTATTGGAAAGATACCCAGCAGAAGGATGGCTGGGTCAAAAGACAATTCCTCGTTCAAAAGGACAGGGTAGTAGGGGCTAGTGCAGCTGGTGATTTTAATTGAAGCCAATGCTCACTTACTGTTTCAGAAACTCTGGGGCCCTAAGAACTCAGTAGCTCTACTGAACTGCTGTACTATAAGTGATTCAACATATCTCGGATGATAGCACATCTATTTACAACATGGTTTCTTGGATATTTTAAGCCCATTGTTGAGACTTACTGCTCAGAAAAAATGATTCCTTCCAAAATATCATTGCTTTTTCACAATAAGCAAGAGGTCTCCTGGAGATGTGTGAGGAGAACAGTGTTGGTTTCATGTTTGCTAACACAAAACCCACTCTGTAATCCAGGGATCCAGAAATTACTTTTACATTAAATCCTATAATCTAAGAAATACATTTTGTAAAGCTCTATGAGGAAAAGTGAAAACTCTGTTAGATATGAGCAAAGTTAATTGCAAATTGTGTGGAAGGAATTCACCATTTTACGCTTTGTCACGAACTTCCTGATGCACGGGAAGAGGTGAAAACAGCAACATTCACAGGAATTTGGAATAAGTTCATCCCAACCCTCATGGAGGATTTTGAGGCATTCAGAATTTTAGTGGAAGAAATAGCTGCAGATATAGTGGAAACGGCAAGAGAGCGAGAGTTACAGTGGACTCTGCAGATGTAACTGAAATACTGCAATCTCATGATGAAACTTGCAGAGATGCTTCTCATTAATTAGCCAAAAAGGAAGTTTCATGAGATGTAATCTTCTCCCAGTGAAGATACCATGGAACATGATGGAATTACAACAAAAGATTCAGAATATTACATCAATCGGGCTGAGAAAACTAATGAAATTTGAGAGGGTTGATCCCAGATTTGAAAGAACTAATATGGATAAAAGTCTATCATACAGCATCATGTTTTACTGAAAATACTATATGAAATAAACATTTAATCAGTGTTACAAATGCTGCTGTCATTATTTATGAGACATTCCATAACCACATCACCTTCAGTCACCACCACCTGACCACATGCAACCATCGACATTAAGTCATGACCCCCACATCAAAAAGATTATGACCACTCAGAGTTCACATCATCATTGGCTTTTTTAGACATAAAGTATTTAAATTTAAGTACATGCTGGACATGGTTGTGCATGCCTGTAACCCCAGCACTTAGGAGGCTGAGGGAGGAGATCACTGCAAATTCTAGGCCAGCCGGGGCTACAAAGTAAGTTTAAGACCAACATGAACTACACAGTGAGACCCTTTCTCAAAATCAAAAAGTATATAACAGTTGTTCATATATATCCAACAGCACACATAATACACATGACATAAACAAGTCTTACATGCACTGAGAACCAGAAAAGTACATTCATGAGACTCACAATATCTGTAGTGCTCTGGAAAGGAACCCACAACATCCCTAAAATGTAGTTATACATTTGTTTACATCAACAGATTTCTAACAGACTTGAAAATATAAAGTGCCCCAAATTACTCAGAATGATCACCTTAACATAGAAAAGTCCTGTCTGAACACTGTTTAGATTTAAGTTTAATCACCTGCTGAAATTGAAAAACTTCTAATCTCTGCACAAATAAAACTGCTATTACTACATATGTTTGGAATCACTCAACAATCAAATTCTGGATTTACCATCTACTGCTGCTATGCCCTTGCTTATCCTTACTAAATTGCCTATCCAAAGGAGATGGGTTGTAACATTTACCTCAGAAAGTTTTCCAAAATAAAATTCAGCAATATTTTAAAGCAACTGAGATACTATTTGGCCAATGATAAGCAATATATATAATTATGATTCTTTTTGAAAACTCTGCAAATAAGACTGAATTTTCAATTTTTCCTTCCTTCTAGAGTGCATTTGACATGGGTCATATTAACTCCATTTTTTAAAAACGTGGCATATTAATATATGACTTAGGTAAGACTATTGAGGTTGAACCCATCACATATTTTTAAATTATTCATTTTAAATGTTTTTTTTTCTTTATGGTTTTTAAATCTTTAAGAGATAAATAAGATTTATGTTTGTCAACACACAGAAATGCCAACCCACTCAAAATTGCCAGTAATTTTCCCAATTTAAAAAGTCTTTATCCATCAAGTTTTTCCAAACAGATTTTTTTTTTTTTTTTTTTGTACCAGGGATTAAACTCATGACCTTGCACTTGTGAGGTAGGAACCACTGAGCTAAATCCCCCACCCTAGATCATTTTGAAATTGTAATGCAGTTTGAAAAGACCAAGCAACTATTTTTTTTAACTTCTGTGTGATTTTTCCTTACATCCTAGCTTAAATGGAAAACAAGTTACATAGTTACACAGTTAAAAACAGTCTTATGTTGGTATAAGTTCCTTCATTTCTAAACTAGAAACATAAGGGGAAAAATCTTAGTCGAAAGTAAATATTGACCTTTCCAGGTGAAAATCGTATCGAGGAAATAATGCATTGTTGCCCAATATTCCGAGTACTGCCAGAGAAGAAAATCAGATATTCCACGTGAAGTCTTCTATAACACACTTGCACGAAAGTATTAGATATTTGAAAATCATTGGTCTAACCTTTCAAAATGAAATAACTTCTCTAAAACAATTTTTGTCAATAAGCTAAAGATGCTGTCAATGTGCATAAATACTAGGTAAGTGTGATTGATTTCTTTACTAACTTTTCTTATTAAAAATTAACTAATAATTAAATGT